TTTAAAGATTTTGTTTTTTTTATTTATTCATACAGAACTGGAGTACAGGCCAGAGATGTGGAGGGTGAGAGGATTCACCAGAGACAGAGTAGGGAACAGAACAGGCAGATCCATGAAGTACACTGCTGAGGGGAACAGCGGGCGGGTCAGGAGAGGTCTGCCATGCCATGTGGTCACCTCCGGGGCAGGCGGGGATTGAACTCATGCGGAAGAGACTTAAGCTTCCTAGTGCTGTGCTTCAACCTGCTGCGCCACCAGGGAGGGCCGGGAAGCTCATTTTTTTATGGCAAGGACCTGTGCCTTTAATTTCCACATGCACAGTGCAGTCTAAGATAGCCTGAATGGCACTATTGTATAGATGAAAAATAGCTGTAAGTTGAATGAATGTCCAAGATTGCCTTGGGTGCAAGGATATGAGCTGAAGCAACGCACGGTTCTTTCCTTTAGGAGTCAATTGTCTGGTGGGGTGGATGGATGAGTTCTGACTTCCCTTGAATAATATCTGTTCTCATACCTGGGTGGAATATTCAGTAGCTCACTTGACAGGATTTTTTTTTGTCCCCCAGTATCTAGCTTATAAACCCAATTACTTAGCTTTAAAATCCATAATTGATGCATTTCCTTGGACCAAGAACTTAAAGGAGAGACACTACAAAGAAAGGAGGAGAACTTTAGGAACTCCTTAGTCATTCTTTATGTTCTCCACGATTTAGTAGAGCAGCCCTTTCACCCAGTGACATGAAAGAACATTTGTTGGAAGTAGAGGGCACCCATTTTCCAGAGGCTACCTCCATCTTCTCCTTCTGTGCTATCTTTCCTAATCAAATTGGTACTTCTAGTAGGTACTTCCTTAGACACACACACACACACACACACACACACACACACACACACACACACCTGGCTTGTGAAACTGGAGATCTGCTTTGAATGGTGCTTTCTCAGCAATCAGTTGTATTTTGTACCAAGAGATCCCTGGACAGAATGTGGAACACTGAGGCCAATTCTTGCTCTGTAGAGCTTGCTGGGGACTTGCCCACCACTGAAACATCTTGGCTTCAATGCTGCACCTGCACTCAGCCAGTTGAAGCAGGTTGGAGGTGGTAAGGGCTGTCTCTGTTGCCTCCCTTCTAGGCCACAGGCTTTGGGAACACTGAGTAGAGCATCCCCTGGGGGGGGATCACACCCTGGAGTATTATCACAAGTTCCTCTGAGGTGCTAACGTAAACAAAGGCAGCTGCTTTTGTAGCTAGCACCCAGAGAGACTTGCAAAAGGAAATATTTGCTAAGTAAAACACAGGCAAGCAGAAAGAAGAGATGTCATTTGCAGGCATTAAGGGGAGAACAGTACAAGAGTGGGAGTGGGGTTCTGTTCCCTGCTCCTGTGTGAGTCCAAGGAATAAGGGAGGTCCTGGAGAAAGAGCATTGCTGTTGTTGATGCAATAAGAATGAGGCCAACTTGATAAATCTGGCTGTGCTTTTAAATAACATTAAAACTCTGCAAGTATGCTAATCACATTGCCTGATTCACAAAAGACAGGCAGACAAATAGACGTTCTTCTTGCAGCTTTCCTTGCAGCTTAACCTCAGGGTGTATCTCAGCAACAGCCATAAACATCTGGATGACTCTTTTCTGAAAGCCAGCGAAAACCTCCTGACACCTATCCTGTGCTCCTGGCTGGCAAGGAGCAGGCCAGCCTGCCCTTAATTGCCATTTAGCCTTTCCTGAAGAAGAAACTGCTGGAAGATGAATTTTACCTATAAATTACATTTTTTAATTCTTTAATTTCAAGTAAACAAGCATTCCCTGAGTAGGTTCCAGGTACCCAGTGTTGCCTCTTAATGTGATTTGCATCCCAACCCTCAGTCTCCCTGCATCCCTCCCCCCTCAGCATTTTGACTTCCCACTTTATAGATAAGTCTGTTGAGAACTGAAGAAACACCACAAATAACTAGTGTCTTGTCACAAAGCTGGTGAACAGCAAAGGCAGCATCAAAACCCAGGTTGTGTGTGCATCATCAACAAGGACAATGTCTGTCTACTCGTGGTCGTTTTGACGTCTTAGACACCTGTTTGCTCCGGAAGTTGTGGAATTTCTGTGCAAGTTTAGGGATGAGTGTGTATTCCACTGTGGTGGTGTATGTATTACCTGATTCTTTGACATTTCCATCTTTGGATCCGGAGTAATTCCCTGACATCTGTGTTTGACAGACTCCACAGCCAACTATTTATTTTTTAAAAAATATTTATTTATTCATACAGAACTGGGGTACAGGCCAGAGATGCGGAGGGTCAGAAGATTCACCAGGGACAGAGCAGGGAGCAGAACAGACAGATCTACGAAGTACACTAATGAGGGGAGCAGCAGGCGGGTCAGGAGAGGTCTGCCACGCCATGTGGATCTCCTCCAGGGCAGGCGTGGATCCAACTCATGCAGAAGTGGCTTAAGCTTCTTAGTGCAGTGCTTTAACCTGATGTGCCACCAGGGAGGACCCCAACTATTTTTTTAAAGACTTATTTATTTATTTATGCTTACAGAACTTGGAGTACAGGCCAGATGTGTGGGGGTGAGAGGGTTCACCAGAGACAGAATATGGAGCAGAACAGGCAGATCTACTGAAATACACTGCTGAAGGGAGCAGGGGGCGGGTCAGGAGAGGTCTGCCATGCCATGTGGGTCACCTCTCTGGCTGGGGATCAAACTTGTGCTACAGTAGCAGAGGATGGCTTCAGAGTACTGTGCTTTAACCCATTGTGCCATCAGGGAGGGCCCACAAGGGATAGTTTCTAAGTGTAATTTTTACCCTATCTTTACTGAAGAGCACAAATGTAAACATTTCCATCACAGAGAATATTAGGGTGCCGCGCTGCTCTTACTTCTGGCCTCCACCTTAGTTTTATTTGTATCAGTAATTTTTGCTACTATGTGAAATATATGCTTATTTGCTTATTTGTTTTGTTACCTGTATGGCCACTAGAAAGAAAGCTTTATGCAGTCAGGGACTTTATGTATCTTGCTCAATCTCTTTTTTTTTCAGTTCTTAGAAGAGCATGTGGTACACCTAATAGGTGATTAAGGTTATTAGTAAATATTGGAGTGAATGACTGCATTTTTGGAGACTCTCTCTTTACCCCAGGAGAGAAAGTAGAATTTCTGAGTGAAATCCTTGGTCTTTGTGCCAGCCCAAAAGTGCCATTGTATTAACCTCTGTGTTTCTGGGAAGGAACTCAGCTCCTGGCTTTGTTTCTCTTGGAGTTTCCATCACATGATTCAATCAGTCTCAGTAGTAGAATTGGCCACATTCATGCCGAGGGCCACATAACAGATGGTCCCTTGCAAATCTGGTGGCTTTCAGTCTTTGGTCACTTAATGCAAGAGACTAGCTCACTGTATTTTAGAGTAGGAATTGTGTATGACAGTTTTTGTGACTAATTATGCTTAACAATGCAGATTGTTTGATGTTCCTCAAGTGGCTGGTTTCTCTAGGAGGTGATAGGGTCCTGCTAAAACTCCTTGGGGATAGGAGTCCAGTAACATTATGTTCTTCCTAGGCTGAGCTGGACACTCTGAATAGGCTCCCACTCTCCTTGAAAAATTGGACCTTTAAACATTTCATGGAGAAGAGACTAGTTCTACAGAGGAGTCTGGAGAGTAGCAATGATGGAGAATGACCTTTTCGCCTTAATGTCATCTATAAACAAGGATGGGCCTGACATTGGTGCACTTAAACCACCACAGGAGACAGCTCAATAGACAAGAGAAGGATGAGTTACCATGACGTCAGCATGAATTAAAAAGACACAGGGACAATCAGTGAGACAGAAACCCAGTGATGAGGCAAAGGAGACTGCTGACGCTGGCACCCAAGGCCGCAGCAGCCACCCTGACTGGCAGAGGGGCCAGGTGGGAGGGGGCACATGTGTGGTAGAGGCAGAGCTGGGAAGGCAGAGACAAAGCTGGAGTCCTTACCGGGAATTGCATGTGACTTATGGTCCTTGCTGTAGGAAGGCTGGAGGGGGTGGTTTCTAAAAGGCCAATCCCCCCTGAATAAATGCAGATTCTAAGTCAATGATTATCAAAGGAAATCATTTGATGAACTCTACCAGTGTCCTCACACTCCCTGATTTACAAGGCGAAAATATTTATTGTCAGTTTTGGGTGACTTATGAGTCTGTCATCATTGATTGGAAAGAGATCCTATGAAAATAGAGGGGAAATGTGATTAAAGATATATTTGATTACTATATATACAAATACAAATATCTTCATATGCATATATAGTCATATGTGGCTTGATATTGTAACATAGGCTGCTTTGCCTGCTTTGTTTTTTTCAAAGTGAGGAAATAGGTCAGAAAGATTCTTATAATAGTCCTGTTTGACCTTTGCCAATGTGTATATTGCTATTCTCAATCAGGGTATTTCCTCTAGCACTTTCTAAATATATATATATATATATATATATATATATATATTCTAAATATATATATTCTAAATATATATATATATATTTTAAAGATTTATTTGTGCAGACAGAGTGGGGAGCAGAATAGGCAGATCGACGAAGTACACTGCTGAGGGGAGCAGCGGGTGGGTCAGGAGAGGTCTGCCACGCCATGTGGTCACCTCCGGGGCAGGCGGGAATCGAACTCATGCGGAAGTGGCTTAGGCTTCTTAGTGCAGTGCTTTAACCCGCTGTGCCACCAGGGAGGGCCCATATTGGACATACTTTTAGAAGTGCAAGCTGTCCTGTTTTGTTCTCAGGAAATATTTAGACATCCTATGGAGATAGTTACTTAAAAGAAGAACAATAATAACAACAGTCAAAGCCCTAAATACTCCTATGCTGTTCACCCTTAAGCAAGGAGCCAGTATGTGGGTATATGTGTTCCGTGACATCAGGAAAGAAAAAATGCTAGTTATTGTGCCTTGGTCAGAGAGACTGAGAAAATGACACAGAAAGCGTATAACACCTTTGCTGTTTTTCTTCTCTTGTAGATCCATTTTGAAGCCAAGGTGGATGTTTTCAGGGCTGAACCACTGACCAGAGTTGTGCATAATTCTTGTGTTTTCCTTGGCCATCAGTTGAGAGAAAATGGAAGACACTTACAAGGATAGGACTTCATTGATGAAGGGCGCCAAGGACATAGCCAAAGAGGTGAAGAAGCAAACTGTCAAGAAGGTGAATCAAGCAGTGGACAGAGCCCAGGATGAATACACCCAGAGGTCTTACCATCGGTTCCAAGATGAAGAAGAGGATGATGACTATTACCCGCCTGGAGAGACCTATGATGGCGAGGCCCGTGATGATGAAGGCTCCAGTGAAGCTACTGAGGGTCATGACGAAGATGATGAAATCTATGAAGGGGAATATCAGGGAATTCCCAGTACAAACCAAGGGAAGGACAGCATCGTGTCAGTGGGGCAGCCCAAGAGCAATGAATACAAGGACCGACGGGACCTAGAATCAGAGAGGAAAGCTGATGAGGAAGAACTAGCCCAGCAGTATGAGCTGATCATCCAAGAATGTGGCCATGGCCGTTTTCAGTGGGCTCTCTTCTTTGTGCTGGGCATGGCCCTGATGGCGGATGGCGTGGAGGTGTTTGTCGTTGGCTTTGTATTGCCCAGCGCAGAGACAGACCTGTGCATACCAAATTCAGGATCCGGATGGCTAGGTAGGTGCATCATATCAGTGAGACAAGTTCTGAAAGTGGTTTGTTTGTTGTACACACTTAACAAATAGAATAGCTGCTTTTCATCTAAGGTGTTGCATGTTTTCAAACACTGTGAAAAATGTTAAATATACAGAAGTCAAAAGTTGTAAGTTAATGCCCCATGTGTAGCCACAACCTAGATTCTATAGTTAACTTCTACTATACTTTTTATCACCTATCTATTTATCCATTCATCAATCCAACTTATTTTTTTCAAAGTTAGAGCTATGTACTTTAACTTATACTCTCATAGGTATTGCATCAGTTTCTCCTTTATTAACTTTGTTAACCCTGATTAATATGCCCCTTGAACTTAAGAAAGTTATTATATGTGTATGTATACATATATACATATACATATACAAATACTTATACATATACATATACACATGTTTATAAAAAACTTATTTGATACTTTAAATGTATAGATACCAATTCCATAAAACTGACAAATGGAGTTTCAAGTACAAACTTTCAAATTGTAAGCAAAATATTATCCTTAAATACTTATGCTTATGGCTTAAATATTATTGAAATCCTGCTCATTGTTATTTTTCCTATAATCTGTGTGCATGTTGTCTTGTTTTTCTCCTTCAGTGAGATTTATCCATTGAACATTTTCTGGTTGACTTTTTCTCTGTCTTTTTCAAAACTCATACCTTTGTGCCTAAAGTAGGAAACCTCACTTCTTCATCTGATTATAAAGCTATTTTAAATCATATTACTGTTTAAATTATCTATTAGAAATAATATGACCTCTCTAGAATATGTAGAGAGCAGATTGAATTTTTATTTTTCAGTTGCCTTGCACTCAATTTTCTTATTACTACAAAGTTGTCATTAACACTCCCGTGTATTTCCCTTGTGCAGGGAAAATCAGAAGGCTGAGACTGGAGCCCACTGAGGGATCCCCACCACTTAAGAGTTCACTTTAAATATGTGCTTTAGTCATAAGGACTTTTGAACCTCTCTCGCTAAGCACGCCTTAGAGAATATCTTCATGTATTTCAGAGTCTGTGAAAGATTAAGTATACTTGGTATCTCTATTTCCAAGGGACCTTCTTAAATGACAGCTTGAAAAAAAAAGTATATAACTCCTTTTGTGGGAGCCTAGTAACTTTGTTATGTTATAATCATTGATGCTGAGTCAGTTTCTGTGTGGAAAAAAAAAAAGTCCTGGATAGTATTTCTTGAACTGCACTGTGAAAACCAGTTGTGGATGAGAAAATCACTGCTTCTTACTCCTTTAAAACTTGTTTCTTTTGTATGACCTACAGCTAGCCTTCGTTTCTTTTTTGTTTTGTTTTGTTTTGTTTTTTGCTGACTAAGAGATGGAGCCATGAAAGCAGGCAGTGAGGAATGGGGTTGGGGGTGAGGGTATATTTTGCTTGCTTTTGCTGGTAGACTCATCTGTGCGATAACCTGTCTGAAAGTGCAGACCGTAGTTCAGAGGAGGCGCCTGAGCCACTTGTCAGATTGCTCCTTGAAGCAGGTCTGTCCTGCAGCTAGCTCAGTGTTTGGTTTTCCCTTTCCTTGCAGCAGGCTGATCAAGTGTACTCCTGTAAGTGAAGGTATCACATATTTCTCAAGCTCTTGCTAAAGGACTATATCAGCAGGATGTTTTATAGAAATATATCCAGACACATATCTAATAATTGCAGACTTAAGTTATAGTAAAAGTTTTGCATTTAGTAAAAGTGGTAATCTCAGCTTTTATGTTGGGAACATTTCAGAAAAATCTAAGCAAGGCATACCAGTGTGTGTTTATCTTCTTGATACCAAATGGGAACAGAGTACCACACATGATTCTCTTATCATTCTGTCCCGGAACCTATAAGCCCCAGTGTTACACCCACCCAGTGGCATTCAGAAGTGTAGATAATGCTGTGGAACAGTCGGATCACAGATACTTTCATCTCTCCATAATGTGGCTGGGCTTAGTGAATTAAAAATGTGTCCCCAGGAGTGTATAGTTTCACTCAGTGTTGGGAGTCTCCAACAGAAGTATTTTAATGGTTTCATAACTGTGCTTTCCAGAATTTCATTTCAATTATTTTGCCATTGTAATTTCACTTATAATTGCATTCTAACGGACTCTTTTTTAGACAAGCATTTAAATTGTTTTGCCATTTTCGTTTCATCAAATAATAGCTTTGTAATACAATTACCATACTAAGTCATAGCAATGGATCAAAAAGCAAGAAAGAAGGATGCATGACCCATGTTTGGTGGCATTTTGAGGATACAGATTTGCAAAATAATTTCTCACTTGTTACAAAGCATTGTGTCATTTTCCTCCAGGAAGACTAGGAACAAAAAAGAAAAAAAATGTGAGCAGATTAATGTTTTAATTATTGGGAGATAGATCTTTTGTGTTTGCTAGAAGGTTGAATTGAAGGTAGCTAAGGGCGTATTGTGTGTGCACGCATGTGTGTCTGTGCGCATATATAACATTGTTATTTGTTCTGGGAAGAAGTTAAATATTTAATTATCTAATGAGCTACTCTTTGGGGGCATAAATGCAATCACTTTAAGATAATTCATTTTCTATTTCCAAAGTCTATTTATTGAGCACTTTTATTGTGAGGCACAGTGTTACCAAGGGGATAATAACGGAAAATAAAGACAAAATTTATGTATCCAAGGAAGTCAGAGTCTAGTATGGAAAAGTCATAATTACTTGCATAAGGAAGTAAGTAAGAGACATGTAAGTAGGCTGCACCCCGGGCCCTCTGAAGGGGCAGAGACCTGACTAAGGATTTGAGAGCTGTGCCAGAAACTGTCTCCAGGATTTGGTCATTGATCAGAGAGGGAAGGGAGTGATTAACAAAAGGAAGGCAGACATCTCCACTGTTTGGGAGTCAGCTCACTTATGATAAAACTACCGATGACCTGAATCAGACAGAGGCTAGTTTTCTCTGAGCAATGTTTTATGAAACTGATGGTGAAGAAGACAGCATTGTCCATCCTGGAGAAGATACCAGAGGTGGAGGAGTATCCATGAGAGGAGGAAGTCTGGACATTGCTAGAAGAATGATTTTTCCATACTAGACTCTGACTTCCTTGGATACATCAGTACTGAATTTCTATTCCTAACTTAGTTTATGTAACATTATCTTATGCAGTTCCATCCGTGCTGTGGCAAATGGCAAGAGTTCATCATTTTATTGCTGAGTAGTCTATTGTGTGTATGTATACACAGTACATTGCTCTGACTTACTGCTCTGTCCTTGGGTACTTTGTATATGTCTATACCTTAGCTATTGTAAGTAGGGAAATGACTATAGAAACATATATTCTTTCAAATTAGTGTTTTGGTATTCTTAGTGTTGTAGTATTGTTACCTAAGAGTAGAATTGCTGGGTCAGAAGATAGATCCATTTTTAGTATTTTGAGAAACCTCCATGGTGTTTTTGGATGTGACATTTAAACAAGGTTTTGGTGAATGAAATAAGGCAGATAAGAGAGAGAATGGCATTCCATAAAGATGTTAATGTTGTATAAGAGTCTGTGTTATAGGGAATTATGGGATGTGATCATAGCAAAGGGTTGGGTTGGGACGACAAGTCAATGGATGGATTTGGGCTTTACCTTATGTATACAAGAATGGTGCCATCATTTCTGTGTTCAGCAAGCCACCTCTGGTAGAAGTGTGGAAAATGAATTGGATGAAAGACTTAAAAAGTCAAACAAACGTAGAACCAAAGTTTCTGCCTCTTCTTAGATGTGATGTTTTTCAGGTATTTGAATTATTCTCTCATTTTTCATGTCTGTTCATAGAAATAAGAATTCTCAACTAGATAGGGAGAATTAAATGAAAGGATATATGTATAACTTTTAGCAAAGTATCTCATAAGTGGGAACTACTACTGAGAGCAATTATAATAATTATTATAGGTATAAATGTTAATTAACTAGGAGGCTTATGTAAAATCTCAGAAAAAATTATTGGAATCCTGGTCCTGAATGAAATAACAATACAGAGTAAGAATTAGGAAACTTTTATAAAAGAGAAATGGAAAAGTTTGGTGTATAAAAAAATACTAAATTGGCCTTCCCTGGTGGCACTGTGAGTTAAAGCACAGCAATAAGAAACTAAAGCCACTTCAGCATGAGTTC